AGGTTGGTCTGCCCAGGCTTTAGGTGTCTGAAGGATGCCCTCCCCTTGGTCCATACTTTCGGAGCATATGGCCTTTTCCTCCGGTGCATCTAAACTGGCAGTTTGGCTAGTGTGTCCCCCACTAAAGGACCTGATCGCTCGGTTCACCAATCTTGGGCTCCGGTTCAAATTCAGCCTTCATGTAGTACCGTTAAAGATCACTGCTACCTCCCTACTCGGGACTTCCCAAACGGGCCTCGATCTCCGGTCCTGTGACCTGTGCTATGCATAGCCCACAGATTACAGCCTTCCGGAATCACCTCAACAGTGCCACCCAGACACCGTCTCGACAAATCCTCTATGGGCCAACCTTAGTGAAGATCGTCGCAGACTTTTCCCATATTACAAAAGCGCTATCCCTAGATAATGTTGATTTATATGAAATTGAAAATAATAATAGCAATAATATTTTAAATAGTTTGTTAACTATCTTTGTAGAAAATCTTGATGATAATATTTGCCAACAAGTTAATGATTTAGAACATCCTGCAGAAGATAACTCAGCTAAATGGAATTTATATAATTTATTTGTTTCAGACTTAGAAATTCTGGATTATTTTAATATGCTTTAAAGATTTTTTTTTTATTATCGCTTTTTTTTTTTATATTATATTATTATATATATATTTTTATATTATCGATATATATTTTACATTATTGCTATGTATTTTTTTTTTTTTATATATAATCGTTATACTTTTGTCTTTTTTATGCTTTTTTATCACAATTTTTATAGTGTCGGTATATAAATCGGTATACAAATCGGTATAAATCAGTATAAATAAATTTGAACCAGGTCAAAAAAATATCTTGTCTTATGACTTGTCTTGAACCGGTTAAATAACCAAGGTTCAAAATTCCAAATAAAGACATTAACAACACTGGTTATTAGCACAGGTTAAAATAAAACAAATCAGATTTAAATCAGTATTGCAAAATCCTGATATGAATCTGATTTTAAATAAATATTTGACACAAATACAAGTTCTATAGAATACAATACAAATTAATATCAGCATACAAAACATATTAGCAAAACAATAGCACAATAGATAAACTAATAAAGCTATAAGATAAGCTCTATTGATTTACCTATTAAGCTATTATTTTGCTAATATGTCTTGTATACTAATATTAATCTGAATTGTATTCTATAAATCTTGTATTTGTGCCAAATATCTATTTCAAATTGGGTTTATATTAGGATTTTGTGATGCTAATTTGAACCTGATTTGCCTTATTTTAACTTGTATAGATTATTTAGATTATTTATATATGAAGTAATTTTATTAGTAAGATAGCTAATATAAAAAGTTATCAACTACTGTAATTACTAATCAATAATTGTAACTATATATAAAGTCAAAATTTTACTAGAATAACATTTTTAGTAAAGTTGTTTAGAAAAAATTTAGATTGATTAAAATATCAAATAATTTAGTAAATTTTGACTTTTATATATAGCTATAATTATTGATAATATTTATAAAATTACTTTACTAGAATATCTAATAATCAAATTAATTAGCCAAAAAGCATTAGACTATTAGTTAACAAATATTAAATAACCTATATCAGGAAATTTTTAAATAAGATATATATTGATTAATAGCTGCAGGGTTAATTGGCATTGATTTATATTGATTATAATTACTTGTAATCATTTAAATTTAAATGATTGCAATCGATTTATATCGATTACAATCGATTGTAATTATTTAAATTTAAATAATTGCAATCGATTATAATTGATATAAATCAATGCCAATTAACTCTGCAGCTAGTAATCAATATGTATCTTATTTAAAAATTTTCTGATATACTATAGTTATTTGAATATAAAATAACCTAATAACTAGCTACTAGTTATTTGGATTATTTGGATTATTTCAAGTCATTTATTATCTCTGAATTAGAATATATACTTTTATTTTGCAAAAAAAATAAACATATTTAAAGAAAGATACAAGTAGCTCTTTTATCACTCCTCTTCACTTCTTAGTTATTCTTTTAAAATTTTTTAAAAAAAGTGAAAATTTGGTTTACTCTCTTCAAAAAATTAGTATTGTTTAAGAAAGTGTTATTTATTAGCTGATTTTTTGCAAATAGGAAAGTTTTCCTCCCTCAAATTATTATAATTATATATGAGCCAGTGCAAAAAGATAGATACACTGGACTAAAAATTAAAATTGTCTATATATGAAAGTTATTAAATTTTAATTATTTATCTACAATTTTTTTTATTAAATAAATAAGGTTTTGAGCTATCTTTTTTTATATTTTTTATTATTTTTTTATAGATATTTTATTGAGTAATAAATTTTTTTTAAATTCAATTATTTTTTTTAAAAAAGATAATTTTTTAAAAAAAAACAATTTTTTCATCTAGTATACAATTTTATAAGCTCAAACTACACAAGTATATTGCTATTTTCATCCTTAATATATGCCAAAATTTTTAGCTTTATTTGAATTATTGGATACTGTAATATAAATTTTTAAATTTATTAGCTAAATTACTATGTTGTACAAAAATTACATACAGTATATAAATTTTGTATTTGGCTAAAAAATTTAAAGATTTATATTATAGCATCTAATAATTCAATTAAGCTAAAAATTTTGACACATATTAAGGATGAAAATAGCAATATGTTTGCATAGTTTGAGCTTATAAAATTGTATACTAGTTGAAAAAATTGATTTTTTTTGAAAAATTACCTTTTTTAAAAAAATAATTGAATTTAAAAAAATTTATTACTTAATAAAATATCTATAAAAAAATAATAATAAATATATTAAAAAATAGCTCAAAACTTACTTTATTTAATAAAAAAAATTTGTAGAAAACTAATTAAAATTTAAAAACTTTCATATATAGACAATTTTAATTTCTAGTCCAGTGTATCTATCTTTTTGTACCGGCCTATATAAATATATATACGTGCAATGGGGGTTAGGGTCTCGTAGCCTAGTGGTCTGGGCGCCTAACCCTTCACAGACGAGGTCAATGGTTCGATTATAGCTGGTGGTAATTAATTTAATTAATTATCTCTGTAACCTTCGAGAGCTTTCGAATGTGAAACCTTGTGACAGTAAGACTATGTGAGTATATATTTGGCTAATAAAGAATTCTTGGAAGGAGCCCCGAGCCATAGAGAAGACTAGGCACTATGTGTAACATGGGTCACAGAAGATATTACTGCAGAAGGCTGTGCGTTTGAATTCACGATTGGCAAGGTAGCACCAACAACCCTAAGGTGGCATTGGGATCTTGATTGAGAGGACGACTGAATGCGATATATCCAGAAGTGGTAAGAGAAGCGGTGAACATAGTAAGGGGCTGTGGTAAGAGAATGGCTTTACCAAATATAAAACACCTCTGGCGCAAGGAAACAAGGAAAACCGGCTAAAAGAACCCCGAAAGTATGGAAGCAGGTGATCTAGTGGTACAAAAATAAAGACAGGCTAGAGAGTAATAGTCGCACAACCTATATGGGAGTCTATGACAAAACACAGCAGAGGCGCAGGTTCCAGGTTACTGGATTGTAATAGTAATTAAATGAGGTACTTAACTCCCGTTCTAAAGATCCAGACCTCTGTATCACCATACCAATAGGGAGTACTATAGAAGGATCAGTAGCCTAATTTGGTGGTGTACGACGCGAATACCTGGATCGACATGAAATAACACCCTAGTACGGCAGCAGGTGGCTTGAGATACAAGTCTTATGACCTGGCAGCACCTGGTTTGAGATACAGATTAGGTCCTTAAAGTAGCTCCCTAGGGACACCAAGCTGGAAGCACCAAGGGCACCCACTCGAAAAACACCAATTTGGAAGTAGTACAAGAAATGAATTGGAAGTAATATGATAAGTACTGAGGGGTAGAAGTTGGCTGGTAGATGTTGTACAGTAGTATATAAGCGGGATATATATGATAAATATAGGTTTGGGAACCATCCGGTGATTTAGTAATTGGTCT